TGATGTTACAAATGCTTCAAGAAATGTTTCTTTTTCTATTTTCAAAGTATATGTTTCAGAAGATAAGTTATAATTTTATAAAAATAGGAAATATCTTTTAGTTGAGGAATAAAAAAATTTCACTAAAATGGAAAGACTTTGAGCTGAGTCACAAAGAAAGGGTAGGATTAGATTAAAGCCTTCCAGAAAGATGGCATTAACTTAGGGTGAGAGGAGGGAGAAAGGAGGGAATATGTGGGAGGAGGGAGTGGTATGGTTTCATTAGAGAATTGGACATTGTAATAGAGAAATAGGAGATGATATTTTAGGTTAGGAGAAGAAATAACTTCAGAGTTTAGGGAAACTTTGTATGCCAGGCTAAATGGTTTAGACTTAATGTGGTAGTTGAGTGGGAACCACTGAGGTTTTTGACTAGGTAAGTATAATTAATTATCACAGGTGTATTTTAAGAGAATTAATCTGGCAGCAATATATAAAATGAATAGAAGGAAAAAGGAGACTGGGAGGATTTTGATGGTACATGGATGGGAGTTGGTATCTCAGCTCTGCCAGTTAGTGTATTACTAGAAAAGTTATCTCAGATCCTCTGTCAAACCTTTCAAACCACCTTTAAGGTTGGAAGGATTAAATGAGATCATGGACAGTACCTGGGCCAGAGTTTTACTTTCAGTGAATGATAACAATTAAGGATACTGAAAGGTATAAATATTCCCTGGGGCTGTAGAGGAACAACAACATCAAACATCAATATAAGCCAGGCATAGTGATGTTTGCCTGTAATCTCAGGTACTTGGGACTCTGAGGCAGAAGGATTGCAAGTTTGAGGTCAGCCTTAGCAATTTAGCAAAATCATGTCTCAAAATCAAATTTTAAAAAGGACCAGGCATGGGGGCTGGGGTTGTGGCTTAGCAGTAGAGCATTTGCCCAGCATATGCAGGGTGCTGGGTTCAATCCTCAGCACCACATAAAATTAAATAAATAAATAAATAAAATAAAGGTATTGTGTCATATCTCTTTCTCTCTCTCTCTCTCTCTCTCTCTCTCTCTCTCTATATATATATATATATATATATATATATATATATATATATACATATATATATAGGCATGGACTTCAGTGGTACAGCCCTTGCGTGGCATGGTAGAGCACTTTCCTGGGGTCAATCCCCAGAAACACACACACACACACACACACACAGACACAAATAAATAAATAAAGAAAGAACAGAAAAGCAACCAAACCAACAAACCCCAACATAATTCTGAGCTATAGTATAGTAGTAGAGGAGCTGTTAAGGATGGGGAGAGAGGTTCATTTGTCTTTTGTTTTTTTAAGGGTACATATTTAGCTTGAGGGGCTGAAAAGTTATAGATGGGAATTCCAAGTGTATGTTACTCATTGATCAACAGAGATGACAGAATGGTACAAAGAGATACCTGTACCAGGTTACAAAGCTAAACTATTTTTTAAAAATCATATAAAAAATCTTTTTTCCCACATTTATTTATTGGTGTGTTATAGTTGTACATATGGATGGGATTTCTTGTTACATATTTGTACATGCATACAATGTAACTATATAATTTGGCCAATATCACTTCCCAGTACTTCTCCCCTCCCTCTACACTTCCACCCCTTAGGCTCTTTCCTTATCACCCTTTGATTTTAGGGGATCTTTCTTTTTCCTCTCTAGCCTCTGCATATGAGAGAAAACATATGATCCTTGACCTTCTGAATTTAACTTAATTCACTTAACATGATGATCTCTAGTTCTATCTACTTTCCTACAAATACCATAATTTAATATTTATTTTTGGATGAATAAAATTTTCCATTGGGTATATATACTACATTTCTTTTTTTGATAAAAGGGTAATATATTTTTTAAAATATAATAATACAAAAGTTGAGATGGCAGAACTAAGACCCTAACTATCATATGAATATCTGTAAATAAGTTAATCTTACTAATTGAAAAGATGCCAGGTTGGATTACAAATAAAATTTAATTATATTCTGTATGCAAGTACATATTTTAAAAAAGAGATTCTGAAAGCTTAAAGTAAAAAAATGACAAATATATATCAAGAAAATTCAAAGAAAAAGAGCCTAAGTGCTGCAATTCTCAACAGACAAGTTGTTAGAGGAGATCAACTTTATAATGGAAAATACACCCACTATCTTTAAAGGCTTGTGCATGGAATAACACAATATCAACATTCATAATGTAAATTGACAAAAGTAAAACAATCTACCATCCTAAGAGGAAAACTAAATTCTTCCATCTCAGTATATGACAGATCAAGTAGCCAAAAGTTATTACTAAAAAAAAACACAGATGAAGAAAAGATAAATACTGTGGATCTGAACATTATTTATCAAACTCAAAATACAGAAAGCAGAGACAGAATATTAAAATATCTATGAAATCAATAAAAATACCCAGCAAATTACAGAAAGTAGAAAAAGTAAGAGAAGTTTATTTCCAAACACAAGGTAATAAAATGAAATTAATAATAAAATTTAAAGGGGTAAAAGCTCCATTTTAAAAAGTTATTTCAATCTATTGAAATATGCCACATTTTCTTTATCCATTCATCCATTGAAGGACAGACACCTAGGGCGGATTCCATAGTTTAGCTATTGTGAATTGTATTGTTATAAACTTGGGTATGTGTGTATCACTGTAGTAAGATGACTTTAATTCTTCAAGATAAATACTGATGAGTAGTTAGACTAGTATTTTAAATATGAGAAAATATAAATAAAAATTTATTTACTTATAAATCAACTTCTGAAAATAGATTTGATCAATACGGACAAAAAGTAGAGAAAGAGCAGGAGAGCTGAAGACATAGCCCAGGTATGCTTATTTTGGGGATGTGGAAAGAGAGGAGACTTTGAAAGAGTCAAAGTTTATGTGGTAAGGAGAACAGGAGGAAGATCCAAGATAGTAGGCGTTCTCTGCCCTTTCAAAATGCTTGTTAGAAGAACACTGTTTTGAACAAGAGAGTCAGTGGGAGCTGTTTTCCAGGAGAGCTTTCTCTTAGCCTGTGGCATGACCATCAACATGGCATAACCACTTTAATCATATTGGATTACCAACAGTGCTCTCAGGCCACCTTCCCCAGGGATCTAGTACAAATACAATTTGCAGTGGAAAACAAAGCTATTTAATGCCTCAAAGTAAGAAAACAAGTTTATATCAAAAAAATCCAGGCAACAGCTGGTACTTTCAAGAACCTTCAGAAATAGGCTATCTAGTAAAGCAGTTGTTATTAGTAGAGATTGTGCACTTTAAGACATTTTAGCTCACAGAATGAGTCTGTGCTAATGACACAAAATGACAAAAATGGAGTCTAATTCAGCTCATACTGAATATTAAAAGGGATAGTAAAATTATGTTTCAAAGTATTTTTCTGTCTAGAAATGGATCTATAAATGGTAGAAAAAGTACCCAGAAAAAGTACTAAGCTGTACACCAAATGCTGATAATGGGGAAATCTATATAACAAAGTAAAACTGGGATTCTCATTAGAAGTAGGCTTAAGGAAAAAAAAAAAGAAATAGGCTTATGAGTAATTAAAGTGTTGTTCTCAGGCACTTCGGTATTTGTCAAAATTATTTTTAAAAATTGCATCCATTTTTAAATAAAAATGCTATTTAAAAAGAAATAAAGCAACCTATAGTTCCATCAATCATATATACTGAAACAGCCAAGAAAGAAAAGGTAAAAATCATACTTCAATATAGTTTATTTCACTATAAAATACTGTAAAAATGACTTACCAATAAATGTCTACATGGGTAAATAAGTCAGGAAAATAAAATATTGTAGGTTGTGAATTGAAAACTATTAATATCTAGACTACAGAGCCAATTTATTAAATTATTGCTGAGATTTTAGAAAATCTACTGGGTTTTAGACTTTATATATAATTCAATAGGTCTTTCAAAAGGACAAAGACCTGAGACAGAAGAAAGTTAAAGGTTATCTTACTTAACTGATGAGGAAGCCAGGTTAATTCACAAGGATGCACTGAATACAATTTATCTGTTGGAAAGCCTTCTCCTTGCCTATGGCAGGACCATTAATGTGGCATAACAACTTTAATCACATTGGATTACCAATAGTGCTTACAGATATATAGCATGAACACAAGAGATTCTGCAGCTGGGAAGGTTCTTGGTTGGGGAGCCCAGGAGGCCCAGGGTATCACTTGCACAGACACAGATGAGTCACAAATCTGACTAATGAAATCGATCACCTTGGCATGGGGATGGGCAACATAATTTTAGGGTGTTCTAATGATGTAAAATATATAAATGAAATTGAACTCTTTTACTACAGCTTGTGCTTTGAAGGGTTTTGGGTTACATCTACTCAACAGAGTCTTTCTGGAATTGAAAGGAAGAAGGAAAAATACAGTCAATAAATCTTGTGTTTGGTATGGCAATATGTAAATCAATGGATGTGTAACTGATATGATTCTGCAATCTGTATATGGGGTAAAAATGGGAGCTCATAACCCACTTGAATCAAATTGTGAAATATGATATATCAAGAACTATGTAATGTTTTGAACAGCCAACAATAAAAAATTAAAAAAAAAAAAAAAAAAAGACATTTAGGGGATGAGGAATACAATTACATCATAGTTAGGATGATAATTACTCAGGGAGAAAAGAGGAATTCAAATAAAGTATGGGACACATTCGGTCTGGGGTATCTTCAATTACATTGGCTGTTTTTTTCTTGAAAGTTGAGAATAAACACAATGCCACTTTATTATTTCCATATATTTTGATTTATGAAATATTTTCTAATGCTTAATTATTAAAATAAAAAGCTATTAAAAAAAAAAAAAAAAAAAAATCTTGTGTTTGTTTCAGATCTATGCTCTCTCAACTACTTTGTCTTCTTCCAATTCAAGATTGGCTATGACAGCTGAAACAACTAATATCCTAATCATTTTATGATCACAGAGAGAAAGTTTACCTGTTTCAATTCTTGTGTCAACATCAGTATTGACTTTTGATGCAGAGCCCTCATCTGTCACACAGTTTTTAATTGTCTTCTCCCTAGAGCTGTCACATAGAAGAATTTATTTGAAACTCAAAAGAAAGCTTTTAAGATCACCAGTCCATGCTATTTAGAAAACATTAGTTCATGGTGGTCAGATTTTTTCCCCCAGATTCTTTACAAATATCTCAGAGTTAAAGTCATGATTTTTTAAAAGTCATAATTTTTAAAAAGTCATAATATTTATACTGGGAATGATGAGAGAGAAAGACACTATCATTCAGAAAATTTAGAACTTACTTTGTTCTCTTGACAGAAACTTAAGTCTGAATGAGAGAGTAGGATGTTTCCTTTTTAATTATTTAAAACACTTATAGTTAAGACACATTAAGGAAGATTCTGCTGCTAAGAATTATAGTGGAGACAACTATAGCCATTAGTTAGAAAAATAGATAAAAAAGGCAAATGTTTGCACTTGATTGAGGTAGATACCTTGGGAAGTGGAAGCACAGGAAGCCTAGACTATGTGCCAGGCTCTTTAAACTCACTATCTCATTCAATCATAAAATCCTACCTACTAGTATTAACCCCATTTTATAGGTGGGGGAATAGATATTCAGAGAGTCTTAAAAAGACTTCACCCAAGATTGAAGAGCTTGTATGATATTAACACTGAGCATAGAGTAACATTTTACATCTGGTGTAGCAATTACCTATATGGTACCTAAACAGATAAATGATGAGATTAATTATTTGTCTTACTAGAAAGTTTATTCAATTATACATTAATTCATCTCTGTTTTCCCAGTGCATTTAAAATAGGAATCAGTATACAAACTATATCTATACAAATAATTTTTAGAAACATTCTATTTCTGTCTACAGCAAAGTAAATTTTCTTTATGTAAATTAACCTCAATAAACCTGATTTTTTTAAAAATAGGGAACAAAGGAAAGATAGGAAACTAAGGATGTTCTTTGAGGGTTACACTATAAAACATATAGATCAGAGCAGAAATAGGCAAAGTGACTAAAAAAGATGATGGTAGTCCAAGAGGCCTTGACTTCATTCATTCATCATTCAATAAATGATTTCTTAGCACATTCTATGTGCTAGGCACTGTCATAGGCACCACAGACACTTCAATAAATGTGACCAACAAGTCCTCAGGCTCATGAAGCATATGTTCTATTAAGGGGTAAATACAATTAAAAAAAATAAACAAAAAACTTATTCTGGAGAAGAATGGAAGAATAATGTTGAGATACATTCACAATATCTTGTTAAATTAAAAATGGTATGTATAGGAAGCAAATTACTATAAAATAAATGCATATATATTTATATGCACAGAACACATACACATATATACCTGAGTAAAAGGATATTTATATAATAGTCTTATTTCTGGATGATGGGATTATGAGTTACTTATTTTTGTTTCTCATAGGTTTTTCCTGTACTTTCCAAATTCTCAAAAATAAGCATGTATTACTTTTGTCATCAGAAAAAATACCAATATTTACAACTACATGTATCTATAGTACACAGATGACTAAAACGAATATGCCTACATGTACACAAAATATTAATAATAGTTAACTCTCAGTGGTAGGATATAGTGATTTTTCCAGTATACCTGTAGGTGTTATTTAAATTGTAATTATTTATTTAATTTTCACTTAAAATTATAAAGCTAACTTTTTAAAGAATGGGTTTTGAGATAGAAGATATGGTACCTTCTTTTTATGGAATTTTAGTAGCAATAAATGAAAATATCTACCATTCAGAGACAGCCTCAAGGTCTGTTTATTTTTTGTTTTGTGGAGAAATACTTTCCTTTTCTTCTTTTGACAATTTTTTTTTCTCTAGCAGTCTTGCCCATGGTAATTTAAATCTCCTTATTCAATAGAAAAATACCATGTGCTTCTTGATAATTCTATCAAGAAAAAGAGTTGCTAAGCATTTATGGAGAGAAGTCATCTCATAGTGTTCCTATCTGTAAGCTGTGAACAACAACACTGGAGATTTTAAAAGTATATCCAAAGCACACCTAGCAATTCAAGAAAGCAGGAATGAACCCACTAGGGCAAGTCTCATCAGATAAATCTCAGGATGCTGAAAAGACTTTGATTCCAGATCTAAGTAGTCACAACTTGTGGGAGATTTCTGCTGGAAAATAAAGAAAATTGAAATTCACTATGACCTATGTCCAGAAGCAAACTAGAATGTTGTTTGTTTGTTTTTATAGAGAATTTTCTTACCTTTTTTCCACCTCTAAGAGGAAATTTTCACTGTTCCCCAACTGACTAAAATGCAGCTTGGCAGCTTTCCTCTCACTGTCACGAACAGTACGATCATCTGGAGGCAAAAACCGTGGTCTGAGCATGTTTATTTTTTGGAGTAAAGAGTAGTGGGTCAGAAAACCTTATTTACATAGGAAAAACTAAAGACCAGCCTCATATTTGTGTGTTAGAGACAGGTCACAACAAATACTATTGTGTTGTCACTGGAGAAAGCAGTAACTCAGGGAGACTACAGGGATGCCATAGCAACAACTGCCACATAGGGTAACTACCCCTTCAGAAAAGTGGAGCTTACACAGCAAACAATCTCATGTTAAGACTGAAAGTTAGACCATTTTCTGAAAGAGTTCACTTAGTTTCCCTACAATGATTTTCCCAGGAACATGTAAAATCAAATTTTACATCAATAAGAAATGTAAACTTAATAATAAAATTATAAGAAAATGCAAACCAGCTCATTCAAAGGGATATTTCTTATTCCTTGCCAACTGAGTCTCAAAGAATTATTAGTTTTCTACTGCTAATACAGTTGAAAAGTTAGGGCACCTGGAAAAACAAGTATCAACCTGGAAATTTTATGTTGAGAAGGAAGTAGTGGTGAAACCATCAACTGAAGAAAACTAAAGCTGGAAGTGACTGATAAAATCATAGGTGGTCATTCAATAAACAATAAACGGACTCGTCATACATCCTGCCAACACAAAGAGTTACATAAATATTGACTAATAAATAAACGTCCCTTGCTAGTGCACACTCTGGGCCAACATCCAAAAGGTTAAGAGGCAGCTGATTTCAAGTAAGATTCTGGGGAAGGAGCAGAGGAGGAGGGTCTCACCCAATTTCTCCAGAGTTTGTAGTGTGTACACAGCAAAGAGCCTATAATCTGTATCTTTCCTTACAACAGGATTGAGTCTCAAATCTAATTCTTTGAGGAAGGGTAAAGGCTGTAGGCGGGACACCTCCACTAATGAAGGGATGTTGTTATAATATAAGTTCAGGTCTTGGAGTGAGCATAAATACTGGATGCCCTGCAAGGAAAAGACCACATTAGGAAACTGCACATTGTAGGAAATGTATCTACTACTTTCAATTCTTAAACGCATTACCCAAACCACCCACAAGAAAGACAGGGTTAGAACTCCTATTCAGTTACCTGAGAATAAGACTACTGCAGCCCCTGGGCTCAGAGTGTTCTATGTGTTAAAAAGTTCACATACATCTTTATAAAACATGGCATTCATATATCATCAGATATTCCCTATATCTGTTGGCTCCCAAATCATTTTCCTAATTCAATCCTTCCTAGTGGTAGCCAGTCCAAATCACTTTGGCTTTCTCACCTTTGCCTCAACCATTCTCCTTACTCCCTAAGAACTTCAATTTACAAAAGGAAGGAAGGTAGAGTTGCTTCTGGGGTAGGAGGACATGGTGGTGGTAATAGAAGTAGTAGTAGTAGTAGTAGTAGTAGTAATAATGTGATGGTATCCTCGTGTATCAATGCCTCACTTTGAGTTTCAATGTATTATTGGGTGAAACAAAACAACACTTTCTCCAAGTCTTCCCTGGGGGACCTGTCTAGGACCCTTCTTGTCCTTGTTTCCCTCTTCAGAGTTACTGCCAACATGAACGCTCCCCGTCTTCTAATCAGTCATTTCTCTTTGTAGAAATGTTCTTCCATTCTGTTCTCATACTGCAGATTTAGCAAACCCAGTCCTTTACTTAACTGGCAACAATATAATCAGGACTGGGAAAAGCCACAATTTTCCTGTTCTGCTGAAATCTGCTATTGAAAAGAATTATTTAATTTGCATATATTTAGCTTGTTAGCTGCTTTTGCCCAACACTAAATTTCAGGATATTTCAAAACATATACATATATTTGTAATCACCTAATTGCAATAGTTAAAATGCTTGTCATAAGAATAACTGCCATTGAGGATTATTTCAGAAAGGTGAAATTATTTTCCATTATGTATTTATAAAATAATGTTTTTATTCTTCTCTCATTTAAAATCATTTTCTTATTTCAGGAAATTCAGAAAACTCAAAATATGTATACAAAACATTCCAGAGTAGAACCCTATTTATTTTGATGCATTTCTCTCTGTTTTTAAAATTTTATTAACTTTTACACTTTTAAAGAGTCAGTGATTAGCAACTGTTATCAGTGCCTTTGGTTTTACTCTCAGGGCAGTATACCATTAGGACTGTATTTTTTTCATATTTTCTTTCTTCCGTATTTTTATTGGTGCATTATAATTATACATACTGGGGGATTCATTGTTATATATTTGTTTATGTACATGATATAACAATATAATTTGGGCAATATCATTACCCAGTATTTCCTTTTTCCCTCTTCTCCTCCTTCTGCTCCCATCCCTTTCCTCTAATTAGGACTGTCTTTAACGTGTCTAATGCACCAGCTCAAACAATCTTCTTTTTCTTTTTCCTTTGTTGATACTAGGGCTTAACCTAAGGATGCTTTACCTCTGAGCTACATTCCCATCTCTTTGTTTTTTTCTTTATTTTGAGACAGGGTCTTGCTAAATTGCTGAGGATGTCCTCAAATTTATAATCTTCCTATCTTAGCCTCCTGAGTCGCTGGGATTAAGGTGTGCACCACCATGCCAGGTTCAAGCAACCTTTTAATGTCTTTCAGTATAAAATCAAGGAAATCATTTCTATCCTCCTCTCACTTTTCCCAGTTGGCATGATTTAATGTATTCCCTAACATTGCATTAGAAAAAAGCCACAAGACATTTTCTCTCTGGGAAAATTGAGAAAAGTAATTCAGACCTACTGGAAATGAATATAAGCAGATAAATAATACATGCAAAAATGTAGAAAATTAACATTTACCAAGTGCTTCCTATATGCCAAATACTGTACTAGGAGTTTTATATATGTTGTTTGATTACATGTTAATTTCATTAACTTTCACAGCAGTTTTTCACTCAATTTATATAAGTATAAAGAAATGGAGCATAAAAACAAATTACAGAAATATTCACTTAATTTTTTTAGCACAAAAGGACAAATAAACAAATGTACATATGAAAACGGGAGACTTAAGAACTCTGAAGTAATCCTTTCTGAAATTGATGGACCAAATATAAATGACTGCTAAAAATAGTCTAAATACTAGTTCAAGTTCAACTTGGAGTTGCTATTTTTAGTCTTAGTTGGAAATTTGATCTTGTTTGGGCTTTTTTTTTTTTTTTTTTTTTTTTGGTACCAGGGATCAAACCCATGGGCACTTAACCACAGAGCTACACCCCCAGCCCTTCTTGAAAAATTTTGAGACAGGGTCTCACTGAGTTGCTTACGCCCTCGCTAAATTTTTGACGCTGGCCTGAAACTTGTGATCCTTCTGCCTCAGCTTCCTGAGCTTCGGGGATTACAGGATCATCCAGTTGGGCTTGCTATTTTAAGGCAAGTTATACCTTCAGATTGGGTCTGAATGGTATGGTTTGAACGGTATGGACTCCCCTAAGAAGTGCAAAATTGGCAGAATAATCCAGGAGAGTCTTTGTCATCTCCAGTCTTCTATAGAAGGACTTTGCCAATTAGCTGGGGCAAAATGGGAACATGTAGAAGAAGCACAATTTGAGGATCTATCATAAAGAAAACAAAACTTCCATGTATGTGCTGTATGTACTTCTTTGCAGAGCTCTTTGTTTTCTAATCCTTCCATATGTTCTTCAAGTCTGCTCCTACTTTCCTGTACTGCTCTGTGTTCCACCATGCCTCGACATAGACATTCTTTTCTTTTTTGAGACCACCATTTCCTGATCTTTGTAGAAAAAACCCACTATAGCAATGTAACCCAGTGTTTCTCTGTGTGCTTCCTGTACTACTATTATCAGAATGCCCTGGGTGCGTCCTGAGCCCACCCATACCCAGGGTGTCTCTCAGAGCAGAGATTAAGAATCTGTACTTTTATAAGTGCTCTTCATGATTTTTTTTTTTTTTTTGGTGACACTGGGGATTGAACCCAGGGGCACTCTACCATTAAGCAACATCCCCAGATCTTTTTATTTTTTTTAGTTTTGATACAGGATTTAGCTAAGTTGCTCAGGCTGGCCTTCAACTTGTGATCCTCCTGCCTCAGCCTCCAAAGTCATTGGGATCACTAGCATGTGCCACCAGACCTAACTTCTTCATGATTTTTTGTACATATTGAAATTTGAGTTATTTCCCTAGGCAATGAGTGCTTAATATAGTTAATATAGTACAAAAGGAATTTACCCAATATTTTATAAGAAATTATCTTAAACATAGAACAAAGTGAGTTGAAAGAATTTTATAGTGAATAATAAAATTTAGCTGGGAAGCATTTAAAAAGAAGATTTAATACTCCCCAGGCTAACATTATTTCTCTCTTTTGCTCATCAAAAAGCAAACTGGGCTGTCTGGCTTGTCATAGAATATAGAACTTACCTTTAGGCTAGTGATCAAATTCCTTGATAAATCTAAGGATCGGAGATTTTTAAAATTTCTGAAAGCATCACCAATGGAATGAATTTTTCCAGCATAAGATCCCTGTAATGAAAGAGACTCCACCAGTTCTGAAAAGAGATCATCAGTATATATATTATGATCTCCACTTATATAAAAGTAGAGTCAATGAAAGTAGGCCTTCCTTCTTCCCATAACCCATCTGTGAAAGGCCCTATATCCAAGGATTCTAAGATCACATCTTCTTTTTTAAATCAGCAGTATAACAGAGCCCTGTGGCGCAGGCCTGTAATCCCAATGACTCAGGAGAGAACTACATTGAAATAAAATCTTGAGGTGCTAGAACAATATAGGCCTTATAAGCTTTTCATAAGCTAAAGAAAAGACCTATATCCTGGAGAAATTAGTGGGAACAGAATTTATACTAGATGGAACAGGGATGATAGGAACAATAATGATAAGGTCTAGACACAAGTGGGGAGGGGAAGCAAAAATGGCAGATCTCAGGAAACAGTTCATGTTTTCCAGTACTTTGTGAACACAACAGAAGAGGGAGCTCCAGATCCTTGAAATAGAAAACTATGGGGTTGGGGGCTTACATTGGAGCTCACCCTTCCTATCTTAAAAGTACAGAAGAACTTACTTCACTTACATACACAGCCAGAAAAGGATTAGAGTCAAAGCTTATATGAGGGTTATTATAAGAAAAAGGAGCAGAATAATATTCATAG